GCTGTGCAAGGGTTCTCTCAATGATGTCATTGACCTTTATTGTGTCTTGCTGCAGCCCTTGGTTTTGGAACAGTTAAGACCATGTAGACCGTATTGGTCTGCTTGTGCTTTACCGCAAATACACGTATATTCTGTGTGAATTGGGGCAGCAAGGCGCAGAGGCACTGCAATACGGAGGGTCTTAGGGTCGAGTCGCGTTCCCATTGCTGATATGAGAACTGTTTGGAGGAAGTCTCCGGAGTAATGTGCACTCACAGCCTGGAGACGGGCAGTCTCCCTATCTGATGTTGCAGCCCTGAGCATGTTGGCAAGCACCTTATCAGCGATCGGGCCATCCCAGCTTGACTGTTTGTGAGCCAGTGCTGCACTAGGGTTTGGTGCTGGAGCAGCAAGAGTCTCCCATTCAGCGATGGCACTGGCGTAGCTAGGGTCCTGTATTCCCGCTGAGTCACTGAGGTTATCAGGAAGAATTTGTCTTATCAACTCGTTTGATGCTATGGAAGAGGATAGGAAAGCTGGTAGAGCAATCTGGGAGTATCTGCGTACTCCTAGCCCCCCAAGCCTGACCGGAAGTGAGGCTTACAACCACTGTTCATCTTCAAGGGAAAGATTCAATACACTCTCTAGGATGGTCTTAAGGAGAGAGTCATATTCCCTGAGTTTTGGACTGCTGAAGGCTGGGGAGCATCTCAGAAAGTAGGTAAGTTTTGGGATTGACAGGCACCTGGTGAGTAGGTAGAAGGCATCGTGTGTGTTAGTGTCTTTCATCCTGCTTTCCATCGTCCGGAGGTCTGAAACTTTTTTTTCTAGGATCAGATCGATGGTATTGAACTCAAGAGGAGCACCAAGGAGAGTGCTATTGGCTGAATCAACGGCTCGTGCTCCTGGTAAAACGGCGCTTATATATATATATAATATATATATATATATATATATATATATATATATATATATATATATATATATATATATATATATATATGTGCAATAAGATCACAGTAAACAGGTGATTTCAGAATATGCAAAACAACCACTGTGAAAGAATAATGAAATTACCAAGGAACAAATGTTCCTTGATAATGAGTAGTCACGATAGCGCTTGGAATTTCATTAGTCTTTCACAGTGGTTGTTTTGTATATATATATATATATATATATAAATATATATATATATATATAATATATATATATATATATATATATATATATATATATAATATATATATATATATATAAAATATAATATAATATATGTGTGTGTGTGTGTGTGTGTGCGTGCAGTGTGTACTCACCTAATTGTGGTTGCAGGGGTCGAGTCTCAGCTCCTGGCCCCGCCTCTTCACCGACCGCTACTAGGTCCTCTCTCCCCCTGCTACATTAGCTTTATCATACCTCGTCTTAAAACTATGTATAGTTACTGCCTCCACTACATCGCTTGCCAGACTATTCCACTTCCTAACTACTCTATGACTGAAGAAATACTTCCTAACATCCCTTTGACTCATCTGAGTCTTCAGCTTCCAATTGTAACCCCTTGTTTCTGTGTCCCATCTTTGGAACATCCTGTCTCTGCCCACCTTGTCTATTCCACGCAATATTTTGTATGTCGTTATTATGTCTCCCCTGACCCTCCTGTCCTCCAATGCTGTCAGACCGATTTCCCTTAACCTTTCTTAAATAGGACATTCCCCTTAGCTCTGGAACTAGCCTTGTTGCAAACCTTTGCACTTTCTCTAATTTCTTCACGTGTTTGACCAGGTGTGGCTTCCAAACTGGTGTTGCATACTCCAGTATGGGCCTGACGTACACAGTGTATAAAGTCTTGAACGATTCCTTACTGAGGTACCGGAACGCTATTCTCAGGTTTGCCAAGCGCCCATATGCCGCAGCAGTTATCTGGTTAATGTGTGCTTCTGGCGATGTACTCGGTATTATACTCACTCCTAAGTCTTTCTCCTTGAGTGAGGTTTGCAGCCTTTGGCCACCTAGCCTATACTCTGTCTGCGGTCTTCTTTGCCCTCCTCCGATCTTCATGACTTTGCATTTGGCGGGGTTAAATTCTAGGAGCCAGTTTCTGGACCACACATCCAGCCTGTCCAGGTCTCTTTGTAGACCTGTCTGGTCCGCGTCTGATTTAATTCTCCTCATTAACTTCACGTCATCTGCAAACAGAGACACTTCTGAGTCTATCCCTTCCGTCATGTCGTTCACATATACCAAGAATAGCACTGGTCCCAGGACTGACCCCTGTGGGACCCCGCTCGTCACTGGCGCCCACTGTGATGCCTCATCACGGACCATGACTCGCTGTTGCCTCCCTGTTAGGTATTCTCTGATCCACTGCAGTACCCTTCCTGTTATACGTGCCTGTTCCTCTAGCTTCTGTACTAATCTCTTGTGAGGAACTGTGTCGAAGGCCTTCTTGCAGTCCAAGAAAATGTGTGTGTGTGTGTGTGTGTGTGTGTGTGTGTGTGTGTGTGTGTGTGTGTGTGTCTGTGTGTGTGTGTGTGTATGTGTGTGTGTACTCACCTAATTGTGGTTGCAGGGGTCGATTCATAGCTCCTGCTTGTGTGTGTGTATGTGTATCTTTTACCAAACTGCGGCCGGCCAGCGGTCAGCCCCATGACACCATGCCCCGCCTCAAGAGACGGCACAGTGTACATGTCACCTTATCCAATCAGCCATCGATCCTACAAAGATCACGCACCCACGAGAGCTAGATGTTGTTCGTGATCCGTGGACACTTGTGGCAGTTGTATGCTCAAGGATTAATGCGTGATCTTTGTATGATCAATGGCTGAGTGGCAAGTCTTTGGGACGTGGGAAGCACACTGGTCCCAACAGACGTGCAGGAAGATGTACTGGGTTCAACAGGACTTTGGAGTTATGAAGTCCTCTTTCTGTATCAGTTCGTCACTAGGTAAATATTTTTAGTATATTAAGAATTAGACAAATGCACTTCACATAAGGACACCTGCTTGCAGGTGTTCACGCTGTTCTTTCTGTAGATTTTATTGTAATACTTATGTTAACAGCTGACCTTCAGCTCATGTTAGGCAGGATCCTCATGTCTTTGATATGGCAGAGATGAGTCTTGCAACCCCGAACTTTTATTTTTGTCCTTCATTGGTTTTATAAGTTAAATTTTAAAAGAAATCACAGCCTTTTCAATTGTTTATAAATACTAAAATTGTTTATAATACTAAATTGTTTATAATTACTAAAATTCAATATATATGCTTTTTTAACGTAGTTTTAATGTGAGCAGATGTATTTAGGTGTATATTTGTTTTATGGTACATAGCGCAGAATGCCCATTCAGGCCCAGTCTTAACGACTGATATATTAAGTTTAGAAATGAATGCTGAAATGATTTCAGACAGATTAATAATTCCTGTAAGTCAAATATTTCCAACTTATGTGTAGGTGGAAACAAAATTGTGGCGTGTTGGTCAATATTGTATGAAGCAGATTATTATTATTATAATCAAAAAGAAGCGCTAAGCCACAAGGACTATACAGCGGTATGAAGCAGAGTTTAGCAGAAAACTGAAAACAAACAGCTTACATAAAATTTAGAAAAAAAAAAAAAAAAAATGAGGCTGGATACACATAGAATGTAAAGTATAATATTTTACATGAGATGGCTTAAAGAACTACTGAGAAAAATAATTGCAGTTTAAGGTTCAAACTCTGCCATTAAAAAGTGATACAGAATTATTCATCGCAAAATAAAATTAGATTATAGCATTAAGTATTTATTCTTATATATAATATTTTAAATAATTTAATAATAATAATTATTTTTAATAATACATAAACATTCTAAAATATTATTATTATTTAGCTTAAATGACAAATATTTCTCGTTTATTAAATCCATTGAGACGTTAAATCTGTCAAAATAATTTACTGATATAGTTTGGACTGCGGTAAAGAAAGTAATTATTTTAATTACATGATGGTTAGAGTAACATTTATGACGCAGTAAATAAGTTATGATAACGGTAAATGGGTATTAATAGCAGGAACTCGTGCTTCTGTGAAATAACTGGTAATGGTGAGAGCGAATTATTGATATTAACAAACGGTTTTAACGACTTTTAATTCATACAACTCACTCTTAGTGATATGTTGCATAAATTATCTTCCTTTCCATCATTATTGGCAGTGAGTTACCTATATGATATGTAGTTCATCGGATATTATTGATATTCAAAAGTTATTTTTCATTTCTTTGTATTATAAAGGTTCATTCAATTACTGCAACAGTAATTCATGTATGTTATGTTGAACATTGTTTTAAAAATTACGGAAAATGGGTCTTAAACAAAATTTATGAAAATAAGTCTTTATTTTCTCAACTTTCAAGACGAGTATATTTTAAGAAAATATATGTAAGCATTTCAAGCAAACAATGAAATGTGGCGTTAACATTTGGGACTAAAATGACAAACCTGATCATTGAATATTGATTACTGTTGTAACCTTAACAAACAAGAAAATTAATGTTTTGTGTAGAATATTAAAATAAATATTTATATTAATCTCTATAATTTACAATATATAAAGAAAATATAATATATGAACAAACATATAATATTTTATATATTTGTTTAAATCTATGAGTTTACAACAGTTTTGGCAAGCAACAGTTTAGTGTAGATGTAGTCTGGTGTGGCCTGACCCAGCCATCACCTTGTGTTTCTCTGTATGTCCGGTTCAGCAGTTTACCTTAGTACTTGTAGTGTCCTCTTGTGGAAAATCAACTTGATTTCCCCAAGATAATCACAAGCAAAAAGTCTTCAAACGCAGCTACCACTGTTTCATAACAGGTGAGTTAAGAGACTCTCTTGTCTAGAAGGTGGGTGCTGATATAGGTCGAGGCTAGCACCACTATGTTAAACCCATTACCATTGTTTAGAAGGTGGGTGTCTGGTATAGGCCAGAGTGTAAGGCAAGCACCGTTATGTTAAAACCATTACCATTAACCTTGTCTAGAAGGTGGGTGTCTGGTACAAGCCGGAGGGTGTTATGCTAAATCCATTACCATTAACTCCGTTGGAAAAACCATTTCCGTTGACTCCATTACCATTGACGTAACCGTTTCCATTAATACCGTTTCCATTGATTCCGTTACCATTGGTGAAACCATTACCGTTAATTCCGTTACCATTGGTTAAACCGTTGCCGTTAGTGTAGCCGTTACCATTGCCCGTGGCTAATCCATTACCGTTGGTTAAGCCATTACCATTTGTGTAGCCATTGCCGTTGAGTCCGTTACCGTTAGTGTGTCCATTGCCATTGACACCATTCCCATTGCCAATGATCAATCCATTACCGTTGGTGTAACCATTGCCGTTTCCGTTGCCATTTCCACTGATGAATCCATTTCCATTACCTCCGTTGCCATTTCCACTGATGAATCCATTTCCATTACCTCCGTTGCCATTACCATTACCGCCATTTCCATTGCTATAACTGTATCCATTTCCAACAGTATAGCCATTGCCATTAAGAGAGGCTACACCATTTCCATTAACTCCATTGGTGTACCCATTTCCATTGACAGTTATACCTCCATTTCCATTAAGTGCACCATTTCCATTTACTCTGCTTGCGTAAATTCCATTACCGTTAATAATTCCGTTAACGATGCCGTTGGAGTACCCATTACCATTCACGACTCCGATCTGAGCGTTGAGACCATAAAACTGCTGGGCGGTGGAACAGTCGAAGTTGTACCACCAATCACACACGAAGTACTGCTGGTTGAAGATGGTACCGTTGGGACACAGGAAAGAGTCGCTCCTGCCATCTGCCTGACAGATGTGGAACACCTGTGAAAGACAACAATATTAAAGAAGCAGTGTATTATTAGTGACGGATATAGAGGACCTGCTAACAGCAACTGTCAGTAATGTTATTATTAGTAGGTAACTCGGTTGGTTTCTGTTCTCTTTCAGTTGGTTCATTAACTTCTTAAGAGGATATTACGTCGCACTTCCTATTTAACTTTATGTAGCACTCTTTTTCTGTTCATATATAAATATGTGTTTTGAAATGATGTCTGTTGGAAGAAGATGTCATATGGATTCAATAATGTATCATGTTTCAGCTTTGAAATCAAGCGCTTTAATTTGTAAACCGTATGAATCAAAGTGTACATCCATAACAATTTCCTGAATTAATACAACATAAATGAAGTGGTGCATTATAATATTAATAACTCTAGTCAATAATAGCAAGCTGCACCATCTATTGGATCTAAAGAAATTCAGTGTGGTTGAAGGACCAAATATTCCTCAGACGTTGAATCTATTGAAAGGCTATAAAGCATATCTATTTAGAAGCTGAAGGCTTTAAGAAGTATAGATTGTCAGGATCTGAATATATAAAAACGCAGTTTGCTGAATAAACAATACAAGAAACAGTTCCCAGTTTAAGACCTAGACGACAACCATCCTCAGGGGAGGTGAGACTCACCTGACAGCCGGCCTCGAGGGCAATATCAGCGTAGTATCCAGGGATCTGTCCACTGCAGGTGAATCCTGTGTCGGGTACAGAAGCCAGGATGGGATAGTCCACGCCGGGTTCACCTCTTACAGCAGTAGCCAGGGCGGTGATGGGATCCTCCAATCCGTTGTAAAACCCGTTCCCGTTAATCACTCCATTGGTGGATCCACCATTTGCATAACCATTACCACTGGTTACACCATTGCCATTTCCATTAAATCCACCATTGACATACCCGTTTCCATTTCCATTGGAAAAACCACCATTTCCGTTTGTTATTCCATTACCATTTGTATATCCATTAGCGATTACTCCGTTTCCATTTATACCATTAATGCCATTAGAAAAACCTCCATTTCCGATATCATTTGTGTAAGCACCATTACTGATTCCATTAGCATAGGCACCATTGCCATTTCCATTACCATTTTTGTATCTCCCATTGCCATTACCGTTGCTATATCCACCATTACCATTGCCTCCGTTGCCGTTAAATCCATTAGTAGGTGCTAAGTAATTCAGCTGCACCGCCAGTGATGCTCCAAGAAGAGCTGTAAGAGAGAAAAATGTTTATTAAGGAGAAGTAGAGGCCGTTAGGACGCTACTTCAACATATATCACGACAATTTAACAAAGTAACAGTTCCATAACAGTTACGTGACTGTGCTGGTAAATGTATTATAATCATCACTGTGTGGAGACTTTTGCTTTTAGAACCTAAGGTATCTCCGGAAGGTATGTCCTCCAGGTAAGGTCGACTGTATAAATTTATATACTCACTGAAAAATACTAAATGTGGTGTAATCTTCATAGTGAATTATTGAGTTAGCAGGCTTTGATTTTAGTGTGGTATGCTATCTCCCGAAAGCTGAGCTAGTGTTGAAGAAGAGGAGGCAGTGAGAGTTGTGGCTGTGGGTCGACTTGCTGCTGCTTTATATATGTGGTCGTTGGGCAGACAATCCAGGCCAGTCAAGGTCGGGTGATAGTGAGATTAACTTGCTGGGTCACCATCGTGACCGGTAATAATAAAACACAGCGGACTGGGTTAAAGTGCGGAAGGTAAAACACTTTATTGCTACACAGTAATTTATATATATATATATATATATATATATATATAATATATAATATATATAATATATATATATATATATATTATATATATATATATTATATATATATATATATTTTATATATGTATATATATATATATATATATATATATATTATATATATATATATATATATATATATATATATATATATATATATATATAATATATATATATATATATATATATATATATATATATATATATATATGCAACGAATTCGCAAGAGCAGGCGAAATAAACACAGAGAAATATACACAAACAGAATGGTAAAGCACTGCGTGTCTTGTTCCAAGGTTCGTAGGTTCGAGTCTCCTTCGGCCAGAGATCAGTGTTTGTGTATATTTCGCCTGCTCTTGCGAATTCCTTGCATTGTTAACCTCACTAGTTGGTCGATGCATGCAGGGGATGAAATGAAAAGCTGTAAGCCTTCTCCCTGAAAGCTGGCTGCCTTGGATCAACGTCTAGCGTAAGCTGGACGCCAAGGTATTGGTCCAGTGTGGTGAGAATGGTATAGCACTGCGTACCTTGTTCCAAGGTTCGTAGGTTCGAGTCTCCTTCAGCCAGAGATCAGTGTTTATATATTATTATTTTATTATCACACTGGCCGATTCCCACCAAGGCAGGGTGGCCCGAAAAAGAAAAACTTTCACCATCATTCGCTCCATCACTGTCATGCCAGAAGGGTGCTTTACACTAGTTTTTAAACTGCAACATTAACACCCCTATATATATATATATATATATATATATATATATATATATATATAATATATATATATATAATATATATATATATATATATATATAGAGAGAGAGAGAGAGAGAGAGAGAGAGAGAGAGAGACATTTGGTATTATTTACATATATTAATTAAATTATGATCTAATGAACGAATTCATAAAAATAGTACACCACTAAAACTCCCCGTTGTCCAGAATTTCAAAGTTTTTTTTATTGACCAAACGCTATATTTAAAAAAAAAAGTTTGAATTCTATTGATTTTTTTTTGCTATGGGCGAAAGAAATTCAGTGTAACATTAAGTTTGCATGAGAAACGTAGGAAGATCTGATGGCGTTGCTGCTCCAGGGGCTGATCTTGCATATATGGAGTTCGAATATCATTTATTGCTTTGAGCCTATTCGGCCCTTTTTTTTTTTAAGAAAATCAGTGCAGTAACGAATTTCCATATGAAAATAGCAGTATCAGTAACATTCGTCATATCATTTGCTACATCCAAACAATTTTTTTTCTTTATAGTCATCAACACTGAATATCTTGTCTAACACATGTACGCTAAGTGTTGTGAAGATATAAAGATTTTAGAGGTTGAAACAAATACGACAACCATCCCTCACTGAACGCCAGAATTCCACCAGATTATTTGTCTAGAAGTCATTTTTCACTATTTCCTTGAATCTTAAGTTAATCAATTTATTTTTTCCATTTTAACATCATTAAAACACTCATGAGTCAATAAGAAATGTCCGTGTATCAAGCTTCAGCTCTTCTGAGGTGGTTGTAGTGGTTTATTCGCCTGAAAACCCAGCGCCTTCTGATTTGGATCTTCATCAGATGATGATGGTTCAGTGGCTAAACATCCGCTGATTTTCCTCAGCTGGTTTCACACTTCATGCAAGAAACAAAACCTGATTACACAGTGTTGAATTCGAGCCAAAAATATTCTTAAAATTAGTTATCTAGGGACGTAAACATTGAATCACTGATATATTTGAAGGAGATCTCTTTACCCTTTTCATTGATCTTATCCATTTGCATGTTAAATGAGATTGAGGCCGGGATTTTTTCGCGAGGAAGACGACCAGAGCTGTCGTAAGATGGGAAGGAAGAAGGATGAGGAAGGATGGAAATACTGGAAAAGGATGGGAAGGAGGAGAAGAGGAGGAAACAAAGCAAGTGGCCCAACCACTTTATGACATGTGGTACATAAGTACTGGAGGCGTAGATGGAGAGGCTTGAATGATGTCGGTACTTGGCTCACTAGGAGAGGATGGCAAAGGCGGCGGCAGGAGCCGGAGGTGTCAGAAGGCAGCAAGCAGGATGAGTTGTGTTGGTGGTGGTCGGCTTGAGGCTTGTTAGGCTACTGTCCCCTTTAAGAAGAGTCTGGAACTTCGGTATTGGCATGTGCATGAGTCTAAATTTGCTGTTAGGGTCGATCTCTGGAGCATTAAGGAGATTGATGAGTTCTCTAAGGAAGAGAAAACGTGATGGACTACAGACGTACTTGACTTCTTCGCTCTGGCAGAGGGGGATCAATGTCTGTGCATCCATTTCTTTAGGATACTCAGGAGTAGTGTGGAAAGCGACTCCACGTATCTTATTATAGTGTTGCTTATCCTTAGAGTGAGAGACAAGTGAAGTCGATGATTGGTCAGTTTTGTTGGTGTTGGAAGACGACGACGCTGCTCGTGTCTTGATAGATGTGGTGGCTGGCGTTGGAGGCGGTTTCTCATTGGTGGAGGAAGGTGGAGGCACGTGAGGCAGTGAGGGCTCTGATTGGTTCTTGGCAGTGGCGGTGGCTGGAGGAGGTGGTGGTCTCTCATTGGTGGATTGCGAAGTAGAGCAGGTGGCTTCTACAGAAATCAAATCTTGCAAGTCATCTGGTGCCTCAAAAACGACGATTTTTGGGATAATCTTCAAAACTCGGCTGAAGCAGGACTAGCGGGGAGTTGAATGATGGCAGATTGTTTGAGGGCAAGAATATCATTCATAGTTTTTATTAAACAACCCGGGTTAGCTGCATTTTGCATGTGTGCATACATCAGGCAGTAGTTAGAATTTTGTGGAAATATCGTGTGGTAGAGGAGAGGGCGGTGAGTGGTGGAGGTTGCTAAGTGGCTTTTAGAATCTTGGTGGTGGTTCGTCTGAAGCTTAGTTATAGCAGCATAAGTAGGAGAGTTTCTGTAGACTTCTTAGTTTCTTCTTTCGTTTCTTAGAGAGGATATCCTTGCGTAAGGAAATTTGGCTGCAAGAGTATGGTGATCACTCTTACAGTTGATGCAGGTGGGAGCAGCAGTGGAAGTGCAGGAGCGAAAGTCGTGATCTGCAGACCCACAGGTGGAGCATATCTTTTTATCTTCACGTGGCAATCGGCAGTAGAGTGACTATACGAGTAGCATGTCCAACAAGGTGATTTACTTAGACCAATTTGTTGTAGAATTTCCCAAGATAGGTCTTGAATTTTTGCTAATTATGCATTCATTTTTTATAGGCCTCTTACTGGGGCCCCTCATGAGCCCACCGGTGGACCATGGGCCCGATTAAGAGCCCTATGCAATGGGACAAGGAAAAAAGCAATGAGCGAAGAGCGGAAGTGATGTTGTAAGGAAATTGACAATGTTTATCCTTTGTATAAATGGAAAGGGACTACTGAAACACTGTATGAATTTTAGGGAATATCCAAACACAACTGTATAGTAATACTAGCAAAGGCACATGCGAATCAGGGCCTAATGTGAGGTCCTGATCAGCAGACTGAAAAACAGCTGATGGTGCGAGTGTATTCATATTCGTGATTGTATAATATAAATCTTATATGAAATTGGAGTTATTACAACTGAGCAAGTAAAAGTGTTTACAATACATACCTGAGAATGGATGAACCAGATGGGTTCAAGAAGTATGAGGTAAACAACAAATGAATGAGGAAGATGAAATTGCTGGAAACTTATGAAAATGTGGAAAAAATAGAACTTTGAAACTGGACACGAAAAGTAGACTGTCAGTATAATTGTGGCAGTATAATTGTATGAGTGTAAATCATGGTCTTTGAATTTTCCGAGGGAAGGAGGCTAAAGACAGTGCAAATATCCTCTGCTTGAGATCAATATGTAATGTGAAAAAGATGGTGAAAAATATAGAAGAAAAAACCTTGATGGTGATTTGGAAAAAGGGCATAATTCCAAGAATGAAACAAGGATTTATGGAGATGGAGTGGCAATGTAGAAGAATTAAGCAAGATAATGTGCCTATAAAGTCCATGTTCGATTTATTTTTTTTAAAACAAAATTGTAATATACTGAAAATTTTTAAATGTTAGTGCATATGATAGACAAACTAATTGATTTTCAATACAGCTTTTCGGTTGTCTGATTTATGCAGCCTCAACATGTTCACTTCTAATTGTATTAGTCAACGTAATGAACGAGTCCCGTGAGAGTTGTTGTCCGATGCCATCATTTATCAGCACGGAATGCTGTAATACAAGCTTATTGCATCTGGAAAACATAACCCTTCACAAATCTCACAAAACGAAATCTAAAAGCTTGATATCGGAGGAGGATAGGGGGTTGAGGGCTATTTGATAGTGGCCAGTCACACTCATTGCATCTGCCAGGGTAATTGTTGTTGCTGTAATTACACTATGGTATATGAAAAACTGCATTTTCGTGTAAGAATGCTCACACCTCACAGAAACGACTGAAATATTTCACATAGTTAGAGCTCTCAAGAACGAAGAGAAGCAAACTGAATACTAACTCCGTCATGATGCGAGAAATAATAGTATGGATAGAAACGGATATAGATTGATTTTCATACATTTAGTAATTTATTATTTTGCTCAAACCCAACATAAAATGTTATGGATGGAGCTAGACATCTCGTGTATTTAATTAGTGTAATGAATACAGTCTTTGTTTTCTGTCGATAATATGTCGAGGATCAGGTTGTAAGTAATGTTTGTGTTCATGTAATTATCCACTTGATAACTTCCTCAACTTTGCTTTATTTTACCAGAGTAAATTTCATGTTTGATAAGGGATTACTCTAATATATT